ACCAAAGTGCTGTGATCATGGAGGCATGAACCTCATGACAACACTTCAGATTTGCAGTTGAACCAAAGTGTGATTCAAACCACCTGTGGCATCTCACTCAATGTGTGAACAGTGTGATTATTGTGCAGTGTTCAGCTGCAACTAAGACATTTATTAGTGACTTGTTTTGCAATTAGCCACCAAAAGCATTTTTGGGCTGGCTGCTGTAATTTGGTTGTGCACTGCGCAATAGTGGTAGTGTTTTGTCACTTGTCAAGTTGTCAGTTGTGCATGTTGCATGTTTCTCTTCCCTCGGCCCTCATTATCAGTTAAGTGGTGAATTGGCATCACTCAGTCTCCCCAGATCTCCATTGACTGTCTGTCAACCACCTAACTTGAGATGGTATTTGCTAATAGTGTCAGAAAAGAAGTGATGGTAGACATTTTTAGGAATATGAGCTCCGTTTCATGCGTGTTCCAGTGGTCATTTTGTCACATGTCCCATAGTGTAATAAATGGAAACTGTTGTTCCCTTTTGAAGGTACTCGCGGATGCAGAAAGCGTTGGACCTAATTATTAAACGCACCCTCCTATCAGCGACGCACGAAATCGACAAATATCATCCTTTTTAGAACAGGAGGAAACGAAAACTTGTGAACATAGCTGTACCTACAACAGTGCGTAAGGAATTGAAATTCTGGGAGTTTTTGAAATTCGGAGAAACTCAAGTTGTCGACAGGTATGCCCCCTTGCACGTCAAAGACCGCCTAAAATACAAACGTCTACAAATGAAGGCAGTATTCGTATGTTCGTTGTAATTGCAGCAGCCTAGCAACATGTATTGCGGTCCGATGGCGAATTGCACTCGTGCTCAAAAACTATGCCGGTAACTGCCAATGCACTTAGGTCATAGGTGAGGAGAGGAAGGGTTATGTCATATGTCAACATCATAGAAATGGCTTCATCTGAGCTGTGCCTATTGTACATAATTCAACCAATCTATGCATTTCGTTTCTTGCAATCTACGCATGCTTTCACTCCAGCTTCAGAGTAATCATCCCATATTGTACGTCTTAAGATATTGATTTCTATGGCGGTTTGCAATTACTAGCCACGTCTCACCTCAGTTTGGTGGCCCCGCATCGGCCCACTCGGCCGCTCTAAAATTGACTTACGGAGGAGGATGGTGGCTTTTATTTTAGCTTCTCCGCCGACTGCGGGGAGCGCCGTCGCCGAGGTAGGAGCAATAATTAGCTTATGTTTGGGACTAATTTCCACGCTTAATTAACATTTTAATGTTATTTTAATTAATTCATGTTAATCCTTGACGCATTCTCTTTCTATTGATACCATCCACCGGTCTGAGAATTACTGCCTTGCTGCGTAAGGGCCGATAAAAGATCACGCTTTTAGGGGTATCTCTTCAACATGGGGCAGGAGCAATAAATAGAGTGCTCTAATTTTAGCTTATTTCCCTGGTATGTCACCAACTGACTATCGCCATATATAAGTGTTAACTGTTAAACTTAATGTAGCCCTGTAGCCCATCATTGTTGAGTGGCTTCTTAGTTTTTGGAGTTTTAGTGCTAAGTAAGTTATTCTGATGGCTACATTTTAACTTTTATTAACAAACTAATGATGCTAGAGATTCTCTGATCTTTTTGGTTGCGGAATTTGTATGAAAACCCTCCTATGTGTGACATGATGTGATATTGGATAATTCTCAAGATTCCCAAAATTCAATATCAAGTAGGTTTTCTTTCACATTGCTTAAATTTGGTTTAGTTTTTGTATTTTCCCAGTGGGTTTTGTTTGCATCAGTTTCCAAATTTTCTTAAATTGACATTAGTCGCAAAACCCATAGTGCACAAAGCTCTTGGCCCGGCCCGTCCATAGCCCGTTAACTAATGATATTTGGGGGCCCGGCCCAGCCCGTAGCCCAGCCCGGCCCATGGCCCGTTGGGCTGGCCCGGCCCGTGGCGAACACTGCTTGGCACTTGGTCATATGCTTGCATGTATGGGACTTGCGACTTGCGAGCAGTGAAACAAATAAGTATGTTGCTGTTTAATGTTCATTTATAATGACATTGAATGCCGAGCATAAGAAAATACGTACAAAAATTAAAGAAGGCTACAAAGCACTCTACATTTTTTAGACGTTTAGATGTAAAAGCTCTAAGAATGAAATGCGTGGAATCTCATCTGGCCTTTCTCTTACTCATTTTCCTCAAAATATGAGACAAGAGAGTCATTAAGTACACACAGTCGCACGAGCCAGCAGTCAGAAGCAGCCATCCTAATTGCGTGGCGATCCCAGCAAACGAGGCAGTCGGGTCACGTACAGAGCGGGCTTTCTCCACTGAGTTCATTCCCAATGACCAGCAAACAACCATCGAGGCGCCCATCAGACACATTTGTCGTCAGAGAGGCGCAAAAACTAAACACGAATAGTGCACATCATCGGCTGTATGGCGCGCGTGCTGGCGAATGAACGAGTGATGACCTTTGACCTGAGTTCGGCGATGTGCGTGCCGTCTGTTGTGGGTCGAGCGGCGGTACAATCACAGTTGTGAGACGCAATCACATCTGGTTACCGTTAAAGACACAGTGGGAGGGACGAAGAGAGGAAGAGTCACCGTAGTTGGCTGTCGCCTGATTGGATGTTGAATTGAGACGAGATTTTGTTTTGTATTGGACGGCTTTGAAGTCTCTGCCTAGTGCCCGACTGACTTCAACAGTCAACGGAAAACAGCCTACGGAACTCGGAAGCATTTATTCCGTAACATTGGAATTGGCATTAGCTAAGACACACACCTTCAAATCAATGTAAATTCATAATACCTATGAAAAGATAATTATTCCTTGATGAGTTAAAATCTTCTCAAATTGACAACAACAATATGGTTTCCGAGTAGTAAAAATTGTAATGCTGGTTAGAACCGATAGCGGGCCTCATCTTTTTCGGTCTGCCCTTATTGGGTCAACAGGGTCATCAATGGGCCATCCTTTTGATAACCACATAATACGATTATCTATTGGGTCTTCAGGTAAATTAGTATTATTGTGCGTCCATCAAATACACCTATGCATTATTTACACAAGCCCTGAACGTATGAAATTGGGACTGAATTGTTCGACTAAAATTAAAAATGCCTACAATTTGTCATAACGACAAAATCAGGCTTAAGTTGACCATGATTAGCCAGCCATGGATAGTGTGGGGATAAATTATGTTAAATGTTCTCGGAGCCACGCTCTACGCCTGTTCTAACAACACTCGCACAAACAGAACTCTGAGCGAAGGTCATCGAGGTTTGGTCAATACCGCGGCCGGGTCAACGCCGAAAAGGAGACTCGATTCTCTCTGTCACACTGTGCTCTATCAATGTCGTGAATTAACACGGAAATTGGGGGACATAACCCAATTATCAGAGACCAGAATGGTGGAGCTAGAAAGCGGCTTCCATTTCGCCCAAAGCGTCTGAGTTCTACCAATACCAGTTATTTATATCAGCTCTGGCGGCGGTTTTTGATTAAACAGCCGTGGCATGGCCTTACAAGCAGAACGAAAGCCACGGACACGATGTGATGGATTTGGAAACAGCGGGAGACGTGCCCGCTGTCTTGGGCTGCGCAGATATGCATCCGAATGCCAGCCGTTATCAGGAACTCGTGTCGGGCTCGACAGGAGCCGAGATGATTCTCCGATATGGTTATTGGTGTGGGTCAGGACTCACGCATCCGCGAACACGCACAAGGCTCACGCATAATTCGACCGTTGTTGGCCGTCGTATTTACGGGACCCAGCTGATTGTGGAAGCGCGCCAGTGTTCATACAATCTACATGACAACAAACAATGAATAATTAAATTATTTGCAAATTCCTGGCAATGACTAAATGGTAAATAACATCCAATGTGATAATCTGTATTAAAATATTGCTGTGTTCTTTGAAGTAGCGATCAAACCAGCCGTCTATTTGAATTGTGGCTGTGTTTTAGATCAGCGCCTCTGCGCGGGAGTGAATGAGAAGACGAAACAACACCTACAACTGACTGGTGTGCGAATGTGTGGGCGAGTGAGAGGCGTCGACTACCGGTGCGAGCACACAATTCTCTCAGAAGACGACAATGAAAGCTATACACCCCGCAGAGCCTCGCCTGGACCAAGATTGCTTTAGTAATGGCCTGGGTGGCCGTTTCCAGGTCACAGACTGCCAAATAGGGGTCAAAGGGGACGATCGGTAACCGCTGGTGACACCGGAAACCTAGCGAATCTGGTCTTAGTGCTCAGTGACTCGTTAAAACTTATGATTGTGTATAATAAAATGTGCCCAAACTGAGATATCTGAACACGTACCTATCTTAAACACGAACTGATTTTGATGGTAAAATAGATATGTTCGACAAAGAATGGTAAATACATTTACATTACACAATACGAATGCATAGAAAAGCATGCATTTCGGATTTTGCGTTGAACGAGTTGTTAAAGGGACCCTCCCACCTTCAAAAAAGTTAATGAATTGGCACGAAAGTGATGTCGCTCGGTTCAGAAAGAGCGAAAACGAATATCTACCAAATTTCATCGAAAAATATTCACCGGTTTTCAAGATATTAGACTTTTACTTTTGTTTACTTTTTGGGATCTCCGCTGTTCCTAGCGACTTTATTTGAAAGTGCGGCATTTGTTGCGCGCAAAGCAGCATATACCACCGCGTGCTACCAAACGTTTTAGTAAAAGATTTAAAATCGTTACATCTCCGCTGACGTCACAAATTCTAAGGGGGCATACCAATGCACTAGCCCCTTAGAATCCGAAAACTGCAAGTTTGAAATTCCATATCTCCGAATTAAAGCATTTGTCGATGTTGCGAGTGCCCAAACCGGTATTTGCAGGCCATGACCACCAATTTGGCTATCTCAACTCAAAACTAATGTTAAGGTGGGAGTGTCCCTTTAATGCTGTTTCGGAAAGAGTGGAGGATATTCATAGCTATGAAACAGCAAGTTTATACTGACCTGAATTTCGCTGGGACAGACGCAGCCGTCTGGACAGAAGCCAGAGACTTTACTGGACCACAGAAGGACAAAAAGCCACCAAAGACGGACGGCAGGCGGCATCACTGCAGCTCCGATTCCATATAAAACGTCACATGTTACCGTTCGGGCGCGCTCACATTAGGTGCTTGGTATTGTTGGACACCACTGTTATTGAGTTATTGACGCCATTTGACTGGCATCACGGTACCGCCACATGGTAATTAATCCAAATCGCAGCCACCTACTTCGTAAAATTAATCAATGCAAGGAACACTTTGATGCCGCTGAATGTTCTGGCGCCACCTGAGAACCTACCTATTCTTGAGCTTTCTGTGATCTCATATCACTCAAAACGAGAAAATATCCATAAACGGAAGGTTTTTGACGAAAACTTCGTCACCACCTCACGAGGTCGGACTCCGGCCTTCAACTTCTCGCAATCTCTCTGCCGTATGTCCTGTTCCTCACTGATCCACCGTCTGTATGTGGGTCCGGTTCAGTACGATCGGCCCTTCCCACCGGGCACCAAACCGACAGAGCGGACACCGCTAGACCGACTGGCGCCCGCCGCCGCCGCCACCACCGCTGCCACCGCGCCGCGCCGCCGCCGTCACAGGGTCGACGGCTGTCGGCTGACCCCTGACCTCGTGAGAGCGGCGTCACCCGGCAGGTCGTCACCGCGCCCGGCAGCTCCCGCAGAGCGTCATCAGCGGGAACGGCGTCATCCGTCGAGGTGAGCGCACGACAGAGACGGACAAACCAATCGACTCCATGTGTGCATAATGGTGTGGGTGTTCGATTCAGTCTCGGTCCTTTTGAGCCAGGACGGTTTAATTCGAGTTGGAACTGGAAACCGCTTGGTAGCGATGACAGCGAAATATCATTTCTTTTGGTTTTGGTTTTCATTTAATTATCACACAATTTATATTCCATAGTTTTGATTATAAATAAATGCCTTTATCATGATAATATAATTAATCTCTCATGTACACACACAGGTATAAAAATTCCATGACATGTTGTCGTTAGAGGGAAGTTGATGCCACCGAAGCCTGCCGTCGAGGTCTGTGTGGTTTATTGTTGGCGTTTGACGGTTTCACTGCCGTGTCGAGTGTCACCAGGGCGGCATGCGATCTGCCATCAAAAGGTCTCAGGGGTCACCGATACGGAGTGGACACGTAACATGCCACGCCCGCCGCCAGCGCCGATACCTCATGCGATAATCTGCCAATGCCACTTCAACATCCTCGTTTCCAAACTCGTGTTTTCGCTGCAATATGATTTACCTGTGTACCGAGTTACAACCTGCCATTAAACTCTTCGCAGGTTATTGCTGTTTGGAGACTGTAACCTTTCTTTTCAGTCGTCCATTTTCCCCGCCTAAAAAGCTTTTCGTTCGCAATTAATTTTTCAAGTGTTTGAGCGTTTTCCATAATTGTATCACGCACGTGCTAGTAATTGGGGTGCAAGAAGGGACTTGGAAAATTTCAATTTGGCTCCCCTCACTATTATGTGCTCAATTATCATTTGCACAGAAGGGAAGCAGGATGTACAACAACCCTACACCATCAGGCCATTCCACTGATGGAGATCACAGTCTGTTACGCCGCTGTTCACACGGTTGTACAAAACGGTATCTCTTCGAAACGGTGGAACCTGTAAGTACAATGTGCAATGCCTATGCATGCACTGAATTCGTCTAATGCCGAGAGCGGTCGACACTAAGAGACTCGACCTGCGGCCGAGGCGGAGCGGCCCCTCGCGTGCATTGCACACCGTGCATTCTCTGCACAGCGCACTATGCACTCGCAGAGTCCGATCCGGCACTTCAGATTCGCATACCGTGCAGGCGTATCCAATTGCATTGTATGTGCGACGGACAGGCTGCATTGTTCTGAGCGGATTTGTTCCCACGATCTCAATGACAGCAAAAGTCACTTGGCAGGTTTTATTGTGATGGTCCATTCTTCTCGAGGCACTATATCCAGACGCAGTCCATGCATGCTTCGCTGGTGGTCAAATCACGCTCCGGGCCAAAACGAAGACGGCTGGGTATGGAACACCCCATATATTTGCCCATGGATTTCCCATAGCAGTTGGCAGTGGCTTAATACCAGCTCTTATTAAAAAAATGCGTTTTGTCCTCTACTTGCAATCGCTGCATAGTGCATAAGGCAGTGCTGATCGGTTGGCCGACCCGCAAACATCTGCACTACACCGTTTACGAAGGGTTCCCGATGACGGCCGTATACGCTTTTCTCGGCTGTGACGATCGAAGTCTGTCTCAGTGTCTCAGTGACTCAGTTCCCGCGCCCCGACTGGTGAGCTGAGGTGACGGGTGAGGTGACGGGTGAGGTGACAGGTGAGGTGACAGGTGACCGCTTAGCCGCTGACAGGCGATGGATAAGCTGGCAGCTGGCACCGTCCGTGCCCGCTCCCGGAGATAGCGTTTGCTGGGGTCGGACCAAAAATACACACAGCAGGGCGCTCCACTTCCGCCGCTGTTTCTTCCAACTCAAGGCGACCCGTTCATAATCCAACTTGTGTTGCTATAGTTGCAATGCACTGTCATATCATTAATGCATAATCGATACATGAATGACTTTGCTCATGCAACAACAATCAATGTATCCATGCAATGAATGCTTTCATACACGAACACTCAGTAACCATTTCTTGGATTGATAAAAGATGATAAATGTGCAAAGTAGGTAAATGATCTCTCGTATAACTAAAGATCGTACCCCTGGGTACGAAATACGAAAAGATTAACGAATACCCATGCAGTTACCGTCTCTGCAGTGGCTAGTAGCAACAAACATTGCAACACCTCGTGCAGAAACTAAACTCGTTTTCAGCGATGCATCTCATTTGGAGTTTTTTTACGGTACCACGAATCAATTCTCAATCCAACCGGTGATGAGGATGACTATTTTCGCCTTGATGCAATTTACATCCTCACTATGAACGTTTGGTAAGTTATTCCCGTATTCATGATAGCTCGGAAACTTGAAAGCCGATCTTTCGCTCTTTAGTCTTGTTCCTGCACCTCGCAGGAATATGCGGGAGCCGTGAGAGAGGAGAGGGAGAAAGAGAGCGAGAGGCAGAGGGAGGGAATAGAGATATATGGCGAGAAGGAAAGAGAAAGAGAGAGAGAGAGAGAGAGGGAGAGGGTGGGAGATAGAAAGAGAATCAATACCATCACTGATCACACCACTGACTTCACATCCCGCCTTCACCGATCTCTGGAATCCGCAGCAGCTGAGTCAACTTTTCACTCGTTCACTTCATCCTTCACTTATCCCCAACAGCGGCAGACGAATTGGCCGAGTTTCCCCAACGACGGCGTCCAGTTCACGAACAAAGCGTCATTCAACCAGTGCCGTTGGAAGAGGACGGTAGAAGTCAGCGCGTCTCATGGAAATGAGCGGTGGAGAGGTGGACGGAATGTCAGGCACGAGCACGACTGTTATAGCCTTACCTGGTTGAGGATATGTTATGGTCGATGGAGGTGCGAGCCGACCTTGATTATAGCGACTGACACCTAATGTGGCTAGGAAAAAGTGAGTACAAAACCGAGAGTTTATCACTAAGGTTGGCGACATATGTTGGGCCAAGGCAGCCTGAGCCAGGCTAATGATACCTACCGACCGAGATTATAAAAAAAAACAGCTGAGCTCTGAGGCGGATCTGTTGTGATTTATTCATAATTTCAGTTAACTATAGAAGTAGCCAGAAGTCCAACTAGGTACAGAGCCACCTAAAAGTTGTGTGGAATCTACATCTCTTCACCCGTCCCGAGTCCCGAATGTGGTCGCGGAAGCATTAGTTCTTCAGCTGGGTATTGCGGCACAGCATAACTTACGGCGCTGACTGCCAGCGCCATCTATTAGCAAGAAACGCCATGTCAAATGCCAATAGGTCGGCTTTCCCGAAACCTACGCAAACTTGCTTATTTGCGAAAGCATGCAAGGTAGGATGAACGGGAGAGGTTGAGTGCCCAAATTGCTGGTCGGGTGTAGCATTTTGCTTACATACCTACTATATTTCTTCTTTTCAAACCACGTCGTAAGCTGGTAGGCGTCATGCCACGAATGGGGGTTCAGAGGGATATGTCCCGTTCTTCGGTTGTCTCGCGTCATTCCGTGGGCGTCACGCGTGGCATACCGCGCCACTACTTCACACCGACCCTAGACACAATGAGCCGGTACACAACAGTACCTCGGCACACACAGACACTGGACGCGCCCGCCCCGGTCCTAACAGACGCCCTCCGCCAGGTCACGTCTCTGGCGCAGGACGGCCGGTGGACAGAGCCACTCAGCAGCGGCTCACCCCGCCACTATGTGCGGAGTCACGAACGCAAGGCGGCGCCGGCAGTGGGGGCGGTGGCTCGCTGAGGTGATACTTTCACGGTTATTGTGCTAACGGGGTAACACATGACAGGTCGTTGGTCTCGTGATGCGGTCAGCACATGAACCGCGGGGGTTAAGTGCGCAGTCACATGACAAGGTCATGCGCGGCCGCTAATGAACGCAATGCGATATCGGGGATGGTTATTTAGACATGTGCCACGACTAGACAGGGGATTGGGCGAAAATTCCCTGCCACACTCTTCAACATCCCAAATCTACCTTCTTTTAGTTCCAGTGGGGATCTGGCCAGAACGCCAGAACCAGGGGCCAGCCACCTGTGTCGTGTGACTCCAGCCCGGCACACGCGGGACACCGTCCAGCCGTGCCAGCACCCCCAATCATCCGCCAATTTGGCGTCCACGGGGCTGGGGAGGCACACACGCAGGGGGTGTGTGGAGGGAGAGCGTGGGGGGGGGAGAGCACCACGACCGCTCGTCAGCGTATTTGTCCCGCGCCACTGTCAACGCGCGCCATGTTTGCCGAGATAGCTGCGCACGCCAACAACAATACTCGGCCCGTGTACTGGTGGGCGGCAGACTGTTGTTCATCCGGGGCCGGCGGAGAAGGCGAACAAGAGACGGGAAGGGAAAGGGGGAGAGAGAGAGAGAGAGAGAGAGAGAGAGAGAGAGAGAGAGAGAGAGAGAGAGAGAGAGAGAGAGAGAGAGAGAGAGAGAGAGAGAGAGAGAGAGAGAGAGAGAGCACAACACGGTGTCACCAAAACCTGAAAGCATCAGGGAAATCCCATCAAGAACTTGACACGATTCTTTCCGTGAGTCCGCTTTATCGACTCTACTGTCATCCGTTTCCTCCTCTCTCGCTATCTCATTCCAGCCACTTCCAGTTTTAGATCATTGATGTATTTTAGAGTCGGAATGCAAATACGTTCACGTCAATGAGTCAAACCCGAGTTCACTGGCAGCACCAGGTCCGTGAGACAGCGGCAATAATCGCCAATCGACAGTTTGTTTCAGAACGCCATTATCAGTCAGAACCGAACATAAGCCACATCACAGCAAAGTACGACAGCGTACTGCTCAAACATCAGTTCTGCATTGAACATAGCCGGTCACCTGGCGGGAGAACAGAAAACTACTGGTGGCAAATCGCGGCAAGAAATGGGCGAAAAAACGTGAGCGTTTGGAAAAACGAAGGCGTGAATTCAGAGGCCAATTTCGTTAAGCAAGACGCTAGAAACTGAAGCATACGATTCAAGAGTGCGGTTGGATTCTTGATGCTCCTGTTCTATCCAAATATCGGCTGTATTACAACCCATAAATGAAGTTCGCTTATCGCCACATTTGCCCAGCCAATTTCCATCCATAGGCAGCAACGATGAACAGCAAGAGGCCAGATCGAAACAGAACACACCGAAAAGGTTGCGTAAAAGAACATGAACACGGAAAATGCCCAGGACTATTCCAAACACCCATCCCCGCCCATGCTACCACTGCTCACTCACCATTCGCCACAAATTCAGCTTTGTTCCACTGTTCACCAAATCTCCACCTGAGGCCAGCACATCCCACACCAACACACATAGTTCCACCAACACATGTATTCACGCCCGTGAGCCGGTGCCCAGCCTGGGCCCGCGTCAGCTCGTGCACAACACAGCGCTCGGTAAAACGGATAGCAACGCTAAATGAAAAAAAAAACTCGAATACACTGAGCAGCCCGAACTTCGGGGCGGACGCCGGGCCCGGTTTTTGTGTCAAAGAACAGAGCGATAGCGGGGGAGAGAGACGGTCATCTACGCCACTACGGGGGTGCCTGGGTCGGCCGGCCGGCCGGGGGCGGGTGGTCTGCGGTCCGCACGCGGTCCGTGCGCGCAGGGGACCGCTAGTGCGGGTCCCGACGGTCCCGGTCCCGGTCGCGGGACCTGTCGTCGCGCCGGTGAACCTCTCGTTCTTCTCCTCGGGAGCGGTCCTTCTCCCGGTAGCGGTCGTCGTAGTAGGAGCGTGCCGACATGCTGGAACACAAGAACGAGAGCGGCGGCAGTCAGTATGACGTGGCAAGTCCCGAACACTGAGCCGTGCGGACTTTAGGTCGAGGACTTGGAATTCCAGGGCGACAGGATAGCAGAAATCTTCTTAGTGGAGCAGACGCCCTTGGTCAAAGGTCAGACGATAACAGCGGAGGAGAGAAGGGTCACGGATCAGGATCAGATGTCGATGGAAGAGAGAAAACTGGAGATGGAGAGCCCTTGGTCGGAAGAAAGGTAAATGGAGGCAGTGTTCAGATGTCTGGGGAAGTGCGTGAAATTCGCAAACGTTCGAGCGGCGGTGCGTTGCGTTCAAGAACCCAGAAGACCGTCTATTTGTTAAAAAAGGTCCACATCATGCAAGGAGAAGACAACGACGCGACGAAAGTTGCACGCATAGTTAGTGAAGCAGAGTCTACAGAGTGTGAAGAATCACTCTAGAATCGAATGCTTCTTAAAAAATGACCCGTAAAAATAACACGATACATTCACGATATGCCAATATCTTTCCTTATCCTCATATTTACAGTTCCTATCCCTAACGCTCTCGCAAGGCAAACGGGGAGGAAAAGGCACACAACCACACACGGGTAACTATAAAACACGGTAAGGACTGTGTACGTTAGTCGCTAGTGGCGCGAGCTCTGCTGGCTTAAACGCTGATCCAACGGGTTAAATGGCTGTTGGCATGCCTTTGAAAGGCCTACATCTTCTAAGGTGTGTGTGACACTTACAAGATTGTCGTCCCGGCAAATAAGTAGATTAATGACTACGATCTAGCCTTCCATAGTACGGATTTCTATACAATAAGCACACTGCATCTACCGTAATAATGGAGTTAAACAAGGATATTATACAATCCGTGATAATTGGAGACCAGCGGGTAGGTGTAACGATGGGTATGGGTGGGTCCGCGCGCCTGCCCCGCCGAGTGGCTGTATGTACTTTGGTTCGATGATCTTCTGCCTGGTCATGGGCGGATAGCTCGGAGCTGGGGCGCCTCCGCGGCCCGACATCGCAGCTTGCCGAGACGCACTGCCGGGTAGAGCAGCGGCGCGTTCTCAGGCGCGCACGGCACACAGCACGGCACGGGATACACGGCACGGCACAGGACACAACACGGGACACAGCGCAATACAGAGAGTACGGCACGGGACACGTCATCAACAACATTCCAGGCAAGGCAAGAAATACGGCACGGGACAGGACATATGGTGGAGAATAGAACACGCGGCATTCAACACAACGGAAAAAGTCACGCTAAATTGTGCCTGCACATGACATAAAACATGGGACACATGACAAGAAATACACGGCTAGGGACACAAAAGGCGGAAAGCAGAGCCGCTGCCAGGCACCGCACTCGCAAACATGGGAAACATGGGACAGGAGGCATACAAATCAATGGGGGCATGATGTAAGTACGAGCAAAATACAGAATATGGTGAACGCCGAGAGATCACCACGAAGAATCACAATGGTAAACACTCGAACAGCAGTGATCATCCGTGCTAAAAATTAGGACTGCACGCCGTGAATTGGATCTGGCAGCGCGAGAGAAAAACTTTGCTGTGTTGAAGATTATTCAACTGGTCTACCGCAACAACTAGCTGATGCCCTAATGATTCTCGGTGTGACAAAATAGTTGGTCCGTAATAATCGAAAAAAAAATCAGGATAAAAACGTCTTTGCTTGCTCCCATCCACACTCCTTGACTTCCCATAGATTTCACTGCCGTTACTTCCGTATAACATAGCGCCCTGTAAAGGCCGCCCCACACTGGACCTCGCATGCGGGTTGCGAGTTTTTGGGTTTTCGGGTTTCTTCAAAATCAGATAATACAATCTGGGCTGAGTGACCCACACTACCATCTAACAAGCGAGTCTGCATGTTTTTAGCTTGCGAGCGACCTTGCATTGCATTCCAAAAGTTGATTTTGAGTCAACTTTCGATTTTCCTCGCTGCGAGGTCTGCGAGTTCTGCGAGGTTTGCGGGTTTTTCGTTGGAGCCGAATTTCGGTTCGTGGCGCTGGTATTGCGACTATATGTAAGTTTCTGAAGGTGTACCGGCTTCATTGCATTCATGAAGTTGCCATAAGGAAACGGTCTAATCACTCTATGAATTAGTATTATGCCCGCAAACTCAAAACCCGCAAACCCGCAACCCGCATGCGAGTTCCAGTGTGGGGGGTGGGGGGGTGGGGGGCTTAAGTGTCACTGATAAGGGAAGCGCTTCAACAGTTTCCACAGGTCCCCTCTTTTCCTAGCCACTACTTAAAGGGACCCTCCCACCTTCAAAAAAGTTATTGAATTGGTATGAAAGTGGTGTCGCTCGGTTCAGAATGAGCAAAAACGAATATCTACCAAATTTCATCGAAAAATATTCACCGGATTTCAAGAAATTCAAGACTTTAACCTTTGTTTACTTTTTGGGATATCCGCTGTTCCTAGCGACTTTATTTGAAAGTGCGGCATTTGTTGCGCGCAAAGCAGCATATACCACCGCGTGCTACCAAACGTTTTAGTAAAAGATTTAAAAATCGTTAGATCTCCGCTGACGTCACAAATTCTAAAGGGGCATTCCAATGCATTAGCCCCTTAGAATCCGAAAACTGCAAGTTTGAAATTCCATATCTCTGAATTAAAGCATTTTTCGATGTTGTGAGAGCCCAAATCGGTATTTTCAGGCCATGGCCACCAATTTGGCTATCTCAACTCAAAACTAATGTTAAGGTAGGATGGTCATTGGTCACTTTAACTAACACTTATCCATTCATTCAGGGAACAGGGCCAATTCTCTAGCACATATTGCTAGGTACCGTCATGGTTCGTCATACTCTTGTATTGGACACAATTATTCTTTCATTGTAGTAACTTCTCACAGCTAGTGAAGAAGACGTCATGCAGGCAAGCGGTTAATGAAGTAAATCAAGACGCAAGATGAGCTCGATAGCAAAACACTACTTCTACGATCAAAGTCAAATACTATTCCCAAAAAAATGTTCTGACAACTGCTGCCTGAACCAAAGCGTTCGGCAGACATCATGCATGAGAAAAGATAGAAGATTAAGCAGAAAAATAGACAAAGCCACAGATCTACCATCGGACTCCTCGCATCCTCCCTCCCCTACTCACGTCACTTTGATCCTCCCACCCTCTCCCCCACCAGTCTCACCTCTCTCGCTCCCTCTCTCTGTCGCGGTCGCGCCTGTCGTCGGCGTAGCCGCGCTCACGGCTGCGCGACCGGTCCCGGTCACGATCACGGTCACGATCACGGGACCGGGACCGCTCGCGCCGCCGGCTGCTGCTGTGGTAGCGGTCTCGCTCACGGGACCGAGAGCGCTCTGGGGGAGCGGGATACGGTGGTCAGGTGTGCTGCGATGGAACCGGTGAGGTTCGCTCTTCGTTCGACATCAGTCCAAACAAAGATAACAGATACAAAATTGAATACTCTTGATAACGTAAGGTGGAAACACACAGATAATCCTTGCAACGTTTAACATGAAAATCAATAGATCGCGGCAGCACTAATATAAAAATGTTTCAATGAGTGCTTAGCTCAAAAGTAAACATCATCTCCAGTCCCTTCAGAGTTTCGCGACCCACCTCTGTCCTTGCGTCCGTAGCTCTTGGCCTCGATGCCGTGCAGTGTGTCCTGCAGCGAGCTGATGAGGATCTTACAGCGCTCGTCAGACGACACCTTGGACTGTTTGATTAACGAGATAGCTGTCACCAGAGTCTCGATGGCGCTCGCGTACTCCCCTGCCGGTGCCAGAAAGAGGTCAAGGTTTGCTGGGATTCAGTCCCTCACACGTTGACGACAAAACACGTTGGTAAGTAGGGAGGCAAGCACACTTTACCAAAACGACGAAGCTTTGGTAAAGTCGGGCAATCAAGTACCGGAGAATGAAGCCCCAGCCCCGCAGCAAACAGTCCCATATTTCCAAGTAAAGTAATTATTACTTACCGGCCGAGGCGTCTGCGACGGCGCGGGCGATCGCCGAGGACGAGACGGTCCGGTTGCGGTTCATGATCTCCTCGAACTCTGTCTCGCTGATGGCGGGGGCGGGGGCGGCGGCGGGCGGCGCGGCGGCCGGCGGGGCCGCGGCCACTGGTGGTGGCGGCCCGTAGCCGGGCGGCGGCTGCGTGCTGGCAGGGAAAAAGGCCGGGTTGACGTGCGGCGCCGGCGCGCTGACGGCCGGCGGCGGCGGCCCCGGAGGAGGTGCCATGGTGGGCGGCGGCCCGGCGAACGGCGACGGCTGCTGCTGCGGCGGACGGCCCCAGTCCTGGCGCGGAGGCAGCACCATCTGCTGCGGCGGCGGCTGCGGAGGCGCCGGCTGCGGCGGCGGCGGGCCCGGCAGCATGCGCGGCGGCTGGTGCATCGGCGGGCCGGTCATCATGGGCGGCGGGCCACCGCGCGGCGGCGGCAGCGGGCCGGGCATGCTCATCGGCGGCGGTCCCATGTTGGGCATGGGTGGCCCCGGCGGGCCGGGCGGGCCGCGGTGGCCGTGGCTCATCTGGGGCGGCGGCGGCCCGGGCGGGCCGTGGTGCGGCGGGCCCATCGGCGGCATCGGGCCGGGGCCGGGTGGTCCCATGCCGCGGCCGAAGTCGCCGTGCGGCGGACCCATTCCGGGCGGTCCCATGCCGGGCGGGCCGAGCGGCGGGCCCATGCCCGGTCCGCCGTGTCCGGGCGGCCCGCGGCCGTGGTGGCCGTGCGGCCCGCCCGGTCCCGAGGGGCCGCGCCGATCCCGGTCACGGTCCCTGTCCCTGTCTCGGTCCCGTCCGTGCGACTGCTGCTGCTGCTGCTGGTTGGGCGGCCGGGTCCGCGACTGAGACTCAAACTGGGGAGGCGGACACAGGCACAGCGTCAGTACGGTAGAAACTAAAACAAAGTAAAGAGTGGCTGATGAATCCATGTCATAAAACCACCATCAGTAAAATGCTGTTTAGCAGAAAATAGTAAAAAAATAGTAAAAAAAGTGTAACCTGAAGTATTGAGAAAAAAATAACTTATTCTGAAATGAGCATTACATGAGTGTAACATACGAGTGCAACTATCCACACAACTACATGTACACATAGTAGTTCTTATTCTGAGCCTCCCGAGTACGAGCCCTTCCCCTCTACCACTTTCCCATGGCCACTCACGTGCTGGAGCGCCTGTTTGTTGGTGTAGGTAACCACCGGATGCTGGCCGTGCAGCTCCTTCTTGCTCAGCTTCTCCATGCAGGCCTGGTAGCTGCCCTCGGAGCCGATGAAGATCATGCAGTAGCCCTTGGACTGGCCGTTGATCCGGTTCTCGTAGAACTTTATGTCCAGTAGGTCGTTGACGCCAATCTCGCGACATGCTTTGTAGATGTCAGCGTCCGTCGTCCACTGATAGGGACAGGGAACAAAATAAGGTCAGCCCCAGTTTGGCATTTTTGGAATCATTCTCAACTGCATCTCCGATAAAAAATAGCCAAACTGATCAACAAATAATTTCAACAAACCAGACTTTTAGGATGAAAATGCCAACCCAATTCAGAAAATGCAAATATAAAAATATTCAGCAGCACCATCGACTCAGCAAGCAACGCAACTGCTCATCTCTATCCGTCTCGGGTTCGGCGTCACTCACCCAGGTCAGGTTGCCCATATAGAGCTGGTAGCGTCGGCCGCCACGCGAGTTGGTCGGCTTGAAGTTGGTCGTGTTCTCCGGTTTGCTGGGCGTGCTGCCGTTGCTTCGCTCGCCACTTTTGGCTCCATCACCGTCACCGGTCTCGGCAGTGACGACGTCATCGTAGAGGTCGGTGTCGCCGAAATCCTGCCGCCGCCGGCACGGGGATGTGTTAGACACGAGGCAGCAATATCCATCCACACAAACAAAAAGGTAGTACGGTGTAGGACAGAGGCAAAATGAAATGGCATTTTGATCATTTTGAGACAGGGGATCAAAATGCAGACAGATGAGCGAAATATGCAGATGTAACGTACTAAAGCATCATCAGGGAGCCTAACTTATCTAGGATTATTGTTGTTATTGCCAAGGAGGCAAGAGCATACCATTGTTCGATTCATATTATATCGCACAGAATATGTCACGGAAAGCGCGTTTTAATTTTGTTGCTCGCAGATATCCGAATTCCCTCAATGCCATACCCATCGATCAGTCGGGCCACGCTCACGATAGGAATCTGTACAAAAACTCAGCACTGTTCGGGTGACAGGGACTCAGCACTGTTCGAGTGACAGGGACAATTCCAGCATTCGACTACGCCGTCGCACCCAGCCCACTCGACCTCTCCCCCACTCCACCAGCCATCGAACCGAGTGAGAACAGCCCCGTCCGAACCAGAGAGAGAGAGGTGACAACGAAAACAGTCCCAGCCCTACCAGAGGCGACGGGGACAACACACGATGTGATCACGCCAAAACTACAGTCGATCGGACAAGCTACAGCGCAACCTAACCGGCAGCGCCAAACTCGACAGAGGACACTCGAGCATGTGTCTAGTGGCCAGACACAGCCTCCCAGCACCCGGCCAACACCGTTCCAGAGGTAGCGGCGGACAAAAGTTCGCCGTGTTCGGTCGGCCGGCAACAGGACAGGGCGAATGATCACTATCTCACCACCAGCACAGAGGCGCTGATATGCGACTGGCGTTGATGAACGACTGGGGGTGCCGCAAGCGCAAGCGAAGGACAAATTTGCAATCGACATTTCAACAGATCACTAGCACAAACTGGCTAGGTTTAATATTTAACCTTCATCGCACACCGCAAGGAAAACGACTACTGGAAGAAGCGGCTAGGGATGCAGCGGAAATCGGTTCTTAAAACAAAAACAAAACGGTGTTTAGATTGAACGAAACTAAAACCGCTAAGACAGAGACAACCTAAAAATCGTCGAACCAACAAACAACAGTGGCCATTTCTTTCCCCTCGACTCCCAGATTTCCCTGGACAGCAGCCGGCTGATTTTCGACGAGCAAATCTACATTTCGAACCACTTACGAGTTACGACGCTCAACGGCATGATATTACATCTCGTTTGGATCAGGTCAGCAGACGAGGCAACAAAAGTAATTATTCGGAAGGCATCAACGGCGCAATAGGGCGTTCCGATTTCCACTCGACTTCGCAAACTTACACTTCTTCAAAGATATAGTTAGTTGGTGTTTGGTAAAACCCATAATGCCTATTTGAGCTATCCACTATGGGCGAAAAAGTTTCAAGCGAAATGAAAGTGGTCAATCGACCCGGTCACCGTTTTCAGTTCGTACAACAGTTGTACACTTCGCCCAGTTACTTAGAGCAGCATCGAGAATTCCGCCGGCATTAGAAGCTATTATGTACCTTTCCGTAACGAATGCTCGATAAACTGAACATGACAGAGAACGCCATTTTCTTGATCCAACGGAAATCATAGCAAAGGTGCATAATATGTTCGATCAAAGCCAATGAAATGACTCATTTGCCTTATATAGGCAGAATTCAATTATAAGAGGATAATTATGGCAGTGCAAATAAAATGAACATGTAGCCACACCACAGGCTAGAAAGCTTTTACTTATGTAAGCATTCACTCACAACACAACATGAACAAAAGTAGTGTTCATTTAACACCTTGAGTTTCTTATTCATTATCATCAACTTCTGTTTTATATCATTTGTTAGGATAAATGACTAGTTACTGAGCAAATGAAGTCAAGGAAATAGAATAATAAGTAAGACATAAATTTGCGACCTAAATTTGCTGTACAATGGGGAGCCACTAGGGCCCTTACGTGGTCTATAGCAAAACATCTAATTCTCACTGGTTATCATACACAATACATACTCAGGTAATATTAAAAAAGACTGGCCTTGAATAATAACAAGTCGACATAGTTATTACATTGGTGCATCATATCAAGCATTTTAACTATTGCTAACTCAAACAACACTAAAACAATCACACATAAACAAGATTGTTTACCGAAAGCACGACATATTCACACTTCAACGTTTCTAGCAGCAGGAAAGCACCAGAAATAACACATCAAAACGTCAGGCAGAACACAAAGTACTTTACCTTGATGTTGAAGTCGTCAACATCTTCATACAGATCTAAATCGGCATCACCCATGGCCACACTAAGCGGGCTGCGGGCGCTTTAACAGTTCGGCAGGTGGCGCGGCAGGTCAGAAGGCGGGCGTTCTGGGCGGTTCGCAGGATGCGGCGCGGCTGCCTCCGGCAGGGGCGCTCCGACGCGGTCTCGCAGTCGGTCCGGCGGCGCGAGGGAGCACTGCGCTACCGAGACAGTACAGCACGGGTGAAGTCACGGGCGGGCGGGTGGTCGGCTGCAGAGCCGCTGCTGACTTGTCCGCGTCTTAGTCACAGCAACACAGCATACAATATTGTGTGATAATGGCGCTCTGTCCCCTCTCTATACTAGTAACAAACAATGGGTGCAGTTCACATAAGGGCATCATAAATGCACCACAGGTTAATCATCATTGTGCACTCAACAAAAATGCAGTGAATAAATTGAGGTGATGACTGGGTATCCTGATTCCCAGAGGCTCCACAAAAGACCTGGAATGACAGGCCAAAAGAGCTGCTTCCAAGCTGTCAAAGCTAGCGATCTATTGGTCAACATGTTAACAACGATTGCCAACTTGTTTTCATCTCATTCACACATCATCCACTCACTGTTCAAGCACACCAAAACACAGGATGGAAAAATACCTATGAGCACACATAATAAATGGGAAATACAAGCCATAAAATGACCACGGTTGCACACCTCAGGTCCACAAGCATGTGATATGGCATCTTTGAGCCAAATAATCATTGAATCAATTCACTGTGAATATGCTACTTAGGTAGGCCCATAATAGCTCTATGGCCCAGACACATATATTGAAAGCAACAGACTTATACATGAAACGATCTAAAAATAAAGAAGGCCTTGCCACCTTCAGTTAGCAATTATGTATTGCATTTTTTCAATTTCTCAATGAATTACTTGCTTTCAGCCTAATTTAAAAATAAAACAAAATTAACAATTAGTTAAGTAAATGAATAAAGACAAAACCTACCAAAACATGTCTGGCATAACACAGATTTAACAATGGTGCAGTTAAACTTTTGTTACTTTAAGACAATCATATTTTAGTACCACATGAAAAATGCTCCTAGATAGAGCTACCACTTTGACATGAAAGGTACCTTAGGTACCTACAATCATAATATTAAACTTTCAAAGCATGATTCTTCAACATATCCTCCTCTCCCACAATCAGAATGCTGCATGAAAAGAACCTGTATGACACATTGACCATGATAGTTCAGAGTTCAGGCTTCTCACTATGAATATGATACATGGGTACTGTCATGCATACAGATGATTTTAGATACATGTACACTCCCCAGTGACAATGTCACCATGTTACACAACTCAGCAATGCATGCATATGAAACAAAAACACCTAGAAATAGTATAGAACCTCAAGAAGATCATAATAGCACAACAGTCACTTCACTTCTAGAGGCCTATCCATTATAATGCAAGCTGTAAACCCATATTTGCTCTTATATTTAGCCATAACAGTATTTTTAAAATACCTAAAATTTAAATGATAGACCTCCAAAGCAATTTTTATTCAATAGGTAAGAACAGAAACTATTATTGACCATGAAAACAAAAGGTGGGCACCTACACCCACCACCACCACCATTTTCTATAGCAACAAATATATTGTTTCTATCAAAAGCATTATAAGAAAAAAATCCAATAAATCTTCCTCAACAAAATCTGATAAGAATGTCAATAAACTAGCATGTTCTGGTTCACTCTCTGTGAAGCATCAATTTCGTCGGTAATGATTTATAAAAAAGAAAATATGTGCCAAGTTTGCATTATAATTAAAATAAAAAATTCACAAACACTGCATATCAAATTCAAATCAGCAATGAATCTACAACACAACAATCGCAATGCAGACCCGGTCAACTCGTGCCACACTGACAAGAAATTATGTTCCAAAATCAACAAATGCCCTGGATAGGATATATCTCTCAGTCAATTCACTATCACATACAGTCCTGTTGCAGCAACAAGTATTGTCAATGGCAAAAATAATAAGTTTCCATTTTCCGGCCTCTAAGACAAACTTAGACTAAATTGGCGCAGCTTTGAAAATGAAATAACACAACAACCAAAAAGCCAATTGAGTAAAGAGTACTAAAAATGTGTTAAAAAGATGAAAAAGGCATCATAATCAAAACAAGACTTACCTTATCCGAAACAATTTTATTTCAACCGAACATCTGCAATTCCACGCGACAGACAACACGTCTGCCACCCAAAATGGCGACCGCGATACGCGTCTTTACGCCAAACAATTGAGAGTGGGTAAAAACGCAGACAAATTTTGAAGACGGCTTTATTGATAGTTGTTATGTGTATTACTGCCCTTACAAACCTGAAACTGACAGGTTTATTAAAAAAACTTAATTGCCTATGCTGATTTGTGAATTGATAGCATTTATGATTTACTCATGTAATAGCCATGCAATGGTAGCTTGTGCAGTAAATTAGGTATCTGTGCAGTAAATTATCTGTGCTGTGCAGTAAATTATCTTTTTTAGGCTCTAAGGGAGCCTAAAGGTTAATATCAAACTGCCTTAGAGTATAAAATCCTCGGAAGATTAACCCTCGCCGGCACAGGCCATTTTGAGTCCTTAGACGGCACAAGGGGCCAAGGGGGGAGGGGGGTTGGTACAGTCGTGTACAGGTTGATGGTCCGCTACTCTTTAGCCACCGGGTTCCTATGGCTCAGCATTGGCAGCAGCCGCCTGGTACCGGTAGGCTGTGCCGCATGACCCTAGAGTGAAGCGGCACAGCCTACCCACACTGTATGACACCGGCTCGGGTCGCCTGGTAGAGCGATTTGACCGGACGCTGCGTTACACCGGCTGGGGGGAGGGGGGTAAGGGTCAGGCCTGTCTATTTGGCTCGGCTCGGTGGATGAGGCGGGCTGGAGTGTGGTGTGGGGCGGGTGTGATGTGGGGAGGGAGTGAGCGGACCTGGGGCTGGGTGTGCGTGGTCACTTGTCGCATAGAACCGATCGTAATCCACCCTCCAAAAATTCGCTTTAGAGATATTCACAAAACCCAGGGGGGTTCAAACACCCATCTCCCAAGTGGGGTTCGGAAGGACAGGTAAGGATCCATACGGTCTCCTCATGAATTGCAGCAAAAAAAAAAAACAGGCCTGTCACCAAATAATATTTCTGAAAAGTGGACTAATCGCATAGCCTCGGACACAGAAATAAACATCCAGCACGCGAAGCGTCTCGAACCGGGCCTCTCACTACCGGTCAGTTTGACAGTCTAGCACTCCTACGCTGAGCTACACCGGATGGTGGCCACGGCTGGGGCAAAGTCTGGCCGGGCGGGCGGCAGGGCCGGGAGGTCGGCAGCAAAGTCAATGAATGTTTTTGTGGTTTCGGGTGCCGGTCGCTCTAGCTTGGTGGAATGATGATGGATCATTGGCAAATCTTTCAACGTGGAGTCCCGGTTCGAGCCTCATCGGGGCTCCGGCTACTTTTCCGAGTTGGGATCTGGTTTAATTTTAGTGGTTGCGAGCCATTTATACGGTTTTATAACTACATGTCAATTGTCGATTGATTGATTAATTGATTCATTCGTTCATTTAATACATGTCGACATTTAGCATACGAATTGACATCCAGGGACCAGGATCAATCCGATCACGGATCAATCTTCCATTTTCATAAGCGTATTGCCTAAATTATAAATATCATGCATATATGTGGCACAAGACCTATGGTTGCCTCGATACCGTGCCAAATCACGTTTTGCACAATGCACAAGTAAATTATATTCGCTGGGTCTTCCGTGCATTGTGCTTAGCAAAAACAGGAATGCAATTGTTAAGCGACGCAAAATGTGCAATGCAGCAAGTGACCACACACACCCGCCCAGCCCCCATGGTCCACCAACACGCCCCACACCACTCGCCAGCCCACGCCAACCACCGAGACGAGCCCCTCCCCCCGCACTGGTCTGACGCGACAGCTGGTCTACAAAGCGCTCCACCCGGCAACCCGAGCCGATGTCAAACGGCGTGGGTAGACTGTGCCGCTTCACTCTCGGGTCATGCGGCACAGCCTACCGGTACCAGGCGGCTGCTGCCAATGCTGAGCCATAGGAACCCGGTGGATAAAGAGAAGGGGACCATCAACCTGTACACGACTGTACGACCCTCCTCCCCTCGCGTTTGGCCCTGATGGAGCTAGAGCTTCGCGGAAAAAACGAGCGTGTTGCCCGTCACGAGAGGAAGCCAATGATACCCAATTTTAAGGTCCTAGGTCATCGGTTGACCTTCCAGGTCAGGTCAATGACCCAAAAATCGGGAATAGGGTAGGTAAGGTGCCTAATTAGCGACCCCCATTCGAGTTGGGACTTGGGGGCCCCTGATACTAAGACCGCCAAAGACCGTGTAAGTAGCGCAGTCTGGGTGATTGTGGTAAAATTTCAATGGTCCTCAAAAGGCCTCAAAGGGCCCTCAAATGGCGTCACAGGGTCCTCCGATGGTCCCGTAGGGCCCTCAGTTAGCGTCAAAGGACCCTCAGCTGGTGTCAAAGGCCCCTCAGATGGCCTCAAAGGGCCCCCAGTTGGCCTCAAAGGGCCCTCCGCTGGCCTCAAAGGGTCCTCAGATGGCCTCAAAGTGCCCTCAGCTAACGTCAAACGGACCTCAGAAGACTCGTGAGGACACCAAAGGGCTTGTGAGAGCACGTTATGGGCTTCTATGTAGCCATACTTATCTCCATAAAGGCCCAATGCCGGTTTCTGAGAGACCTTGCCAACCTCTGAGGGCCCAAGTAACGACCAATGAGGGATCAGCTGCAATGGCTCCACACCCGTCTGTGATAGCCCCACGGCCCACACCAGTGTTTCTTAAAGTCCCCACAACGGCACCTGCGACGCCCCTCACGCCACCTTAAAGCGACCCACACCAATTGCCCACACCAGCGGGCCTACATCGGCGACCCTGAGTCCCCACACCGGTGCCTCTGAGGACCACGTACCAGTGACTCTGAGGGCCTCTTACCAGCCTCTGAGTGTCCTTGCCAACCAATGAAGGGCCACTTTCCACTTTCAGACCACTTTGCAGGGCCACACACATGCCAATGATGGCCCCACCAGTGTCGCTAAGCCCCTAAGACCCCGCAACGGCGCCTGTGAGGGCCCGACACCAGTGCATCTGACGGCCTTTCACCGGCACCTCTGAGCATACTGAGCGCGCCACATACCGGTGCCTCTGAGGAGCTCGCTCGCTCGTAAAATACCATGCACATTAGGCACACTCATCGGGCATAAATGATATTTTTACTTGTCAATCTTTCACATTTTCTTAGGGCAAAGACCGTTTTAACCCGCGCCGGGCTGGGGGCGGTGTTTGAACACCCCCCTGCGGTTTTTCGCAGATATTTCAAAAACGGCGGCGCGGAGCACCGCCGTTTTTGGCACACCTGTTCGTGCATCTTTTCCGCACATGTTGTGAAAATTTCAGACCCAGGTCGCCATAGGTCAGGTTACCAGGTCACGCCAAGTGACCTCACCTCAGAAAAAATAAGAATGCTCGTCATTGCTAGTAGCTACACCGATTGATCGATTGCCTTGAAACTTTCAGCGATTGATAAGAGCAACATTATCTATAAAATATATATGTCGGAATTTTGATATCGGTGACCTAAGGTCAGGTCAATTTTGCGGCCTCTCCATTAGGGGAAGTTGGGGCAATGCCGGAGTTGGGGCAAAGCCGAAATTCGAGATATTTCGAAAACCGTAAGACATGGATGCCACCTGTCAGTGATGCTCTGAAGCTTAAGTGACTACAATTATCGCATGTTTGTTACGAGTCGTCATTCGGAATACTTCGACTGTGAGGGCGCCAAGAGCGTTTTCAAGGTACGTTTCCCTTGTACTACATGCGCCTTTGAAGCTGCATTTCTTACTCATTATGCTTCCGTTTGTCTGGCCAATTCGGTCAAGTAATCTTTAGCATGTCTTTGCATAAGTGTGCTGCCTATTTGAAATTTATACAGCACGTTGAAAAGTTATGGGCCTGCAAATGAAAGTATGGCAGGCTGGGGTAATGCCGAAAACGTGCGATTACGCACGTGTTAAAAGCACGCTACGTGGACTTTACTGCTGTAGAATAGCAACGCGTATTTTTAGTCACACAAATTACACTTTCAACCGACACAACGGCCTGTTACCTATAAGGATGATTTACCTGGCATGTTCTTATTATATCACACAATTATAACTTCCAGTGTGCACCGCGTCCTCAAGCTCTTAAAACGCGTGTCAGCTTTGATGAATTCTGGATAAAGTTTGAGATAAAATGGCAAAACATCAATGTCGGCATTCCCCGTAGATCATTTCTCCCATTTTCGGCTTTCCCCGCAGTCCGGGGCAACGCCGAAAAAGTCACTTCTTTGATATTTTTAGTTTGTGCGCTTAACGGTATGCGAATTCATCAAATGCGCCTGGTATGTTTGAAAGGCAAAAGACTGGCCTCTCGAATGACGCCAACAAGAATAGCTTATGTTGTCTACCTTGCGTGCTACGGGCGTCAGAAAAAAAGTCTTCGGCGTTCCCCCAACTTCCCCTACCTATAAGTCAATGGGAGAAAATTGAAAAGCATCTGTTTTGCACGAACGCTATTCTGGACACTCTCAAACATCGAGATGTAGGTAAAATTGATACACTTAACCGGAAAATGGCAACTGTGACCCCTCGTTATGTCCCCGAGGTCATCTCAGGTCACGAACAGAATCTAACAGTTTTTCGCTAATAATTTCTGATAGAGGCGTGCTAGAGCGGTGAAAACGCCTTAGATGTGTTCGTCTCGATGTTGCGGATCGACTGATATGCAACATGACCTTTTCCGGTCAGGTCATGACCTTGACCTGAGGTCAAATTTTCAAGTTGACTCCTTAAGGTCAAATTATAGTTCATTCGACGCGTCTCGACGAGAGGAACACGATGCTGGCAAAAATAATGTCATGGCTCTTTTGAGTCAAAAGTTATTGCCGAAAAACCGCTTTTCATAAAACGGCTATTTTTTGGAGTTTTTGCCCTCTGGAGGCTAAACCGTTGACCTGAGGTTAAATCTGAGAACACTACTCAGAAAGGTCTGTAAAAGGGCTATCAAATGCGCTTTTCCGCGGCGCTGTAGCTCTATCGGTTGCCGAGATAGCCGTTGGCAGTTTCCAAAATGTTCAAATAGTCAACATTTTACCTTTGGTGATCTCTGGTGACCTGACCTTTGACCTGACCCAAAA